AACAAGAAGAACATAAACCAACCAATTCAATAGGTAGCAAACTCTTCAAAACCTTAGAAGACTGCTCATTACAAAAGATTCCATATCCCTGCCTAAAACACAACCTGACCCTTAAAGGCCTAGCTCAATCTCATGCCCAACAACCGTACATAACCTCCCACTAACTGTCTGGTGGTTACTGCCCTTCTTACCCATCCTGGAGTAGGCATTCACGATTGGGGGCCTCATATTCTCTTGATTGTGCTTAAATTGGTATATATGAGCCTGACATAAAGGTATAATGAAGCTAATTTTTTTTGGATTAAGCATATTCTTATTACATTCGTCCGCGCCAGCAATGGTTCTTTCCCCTTAAGGTTGCTTTCTTTCCTTAGTTCATTATAATGTAACTATAACATCCGTCTTTATACACTTCAGTCATTTAAGCCAACTAGACATGCAAAGTAATTGGCGACTACTCAATTGCTTGCAACAATCTAGGCCACCTTCAAGACCATAATTTTCAACTCCCAGCAAATTCAATTGATTGAAAGATGAAAAGTCATAAAATTGGGACCATAAAGTAAATTTGAAAAAAATGAGACAAATGTAGGAAAAGCATTAAACTTAGCCAAGGTATTAGAGCAAATTTTACTTTCTTCCAATCAGTCTGAATGAAGCATCAAATGCGTATACATTTCAAGATTTGCCACAGTTCAATCAGATAATTGGATAGTTCATGACATTCTTCTTAATATGAAAATGAAAATTCAGCAACCCAAAATCTAAACAAGACAATAAAAACTGCTGCACAAACATTTCTGCTATAAAATTACCTGGTATGAAGGGCAACGATAGAATTGCTGCCCCACATTTTCCCCTGTTTTGGCTGTTAGAGTTATGCAAGAACCAGCACCACAGGGGCACTTAAGGTCTGAAAATGAAGAACTTGATGCACGATTTTGGCTTCCATAAGTCATTATATTAGTTGCAGAGGCATTGTCACACCACTCAAAGAATCCGCAGCCACCATTTTCCTGAGAGCAATTAAATGTAAATCAAAAGATAGTAGGAGCATGATATATAACCATGTGATGATAAAAAGTTATTGCGTAAAGAAAAAGTATCTAATGAGCTTTGAACTCACAATTGTATAGCAAAATCTAAGTTTAGTAACACTGTTTTAGTCAAGAAAAATTATATGAATCAGTGGCAACATTACATTACGCATTACTAATTTAATTTCTACATGAATGCTACATAGGTTTAAGTAACGCTGATATCTTCCTCAAGGTTCTTAATAGCTGCTTATATATTTTTGACAAAACCCAGCATCAATCCGATGAATAAGGACATGAATTCATCAGAACTTAAGATCACTGTTCTATTTCTCAAGTTTGCGCGGCATCATTACATGACTTCAACAATGGCGACCATTGGGGAAGAGGAAGAAAGGATACTAAAAAAAGAACGCAGCCTCCTCACCTGTCTGACGGGACATTTATAAAATTTTCGACCTCGATTCCTCTCCGTATTCGCAGTTAGTACTACACATACTCCCCTTCCGCAGGGGCATGATTTCTCGGCAACAGACGTATCATTTTCTGAAGCGCTGAAAGACCCTCCACTTCCCGGAGCATCGCAGTCTCTAGCCCAATGCCCTAATTTCCCACATTTAAAACACGAGCCACCACCATCCGATTGAGCATGAGCAGTAGTATTCGCAGAGATGAACCCTTTATTTCCAGAATTGGCTATCCGACCAGAAAGTTGAGAGAGGATAATAGGGTCTCCTTTCAAAGCGGCGATATAGATCCCTTCCGCATCTACATTAGGGGAAACTTTGTTGGTAACCTCCGCGATCGCTCTTTTGGGCGGATTGATGGTATGATTGGGGATTTTTCTACGTTTACTAGCTAGGGCACGAGCTTCCGCCGCGGCCACCTCCGAAAGAAAATCCTCGTCGTCGTCGTCATCTCCGAGATCGAAATCAAAATTCCTCTTAGCTTCGAACTTCATCTCTCTCCCTCCGCGATCGAACTCGGTTTTGAAATTTGCCTCTTTTTCTTCTATAGTTTTGCTTCCCGCCTTGGGTACAATTTTGTTTAGGTTATAATTATCAAAATAAATAAATAATACTTCTAAATTACAGTTCTCATATTTTTTAAAATAAATTCAATTATATGAAATTTCACAATTCACCTCTTTAGAGGCTAACGTTCTCACTAACCCACTGCCCGATGTCTGACTTTAATACCATTTGTAACCGTCTAAGTCCATCGCGAGTAGATGAAATCCACTGTGCGATGTTTGACTCTAATATCATTTGCCCCCTTAGAGACTAACATCCTCGCTGACGCACTGTCTAATGTCTGACTCTAATACCATTTGTAACGGTCCAAGCTCATTGCAAGTAGATGAATCCACCCCCTTAGAGACTAATGTCCTCGCTGACGCACTGTCTGATGTCTGACTCAAATAACATTTGTAACAGTCCAAGCTCATCGCGAGTAGATGAAACCACCCTCTTAGAGACTAACGTCCTTGCTGACGCACTGTCTGATGTTTGACTCTAATATCATTTGTAATCGTCTAAACCCATAGCAAGTAGATATTGTTTGCTTTAACCTGCTACGTATCATCCTTCACAATTTTAAAACATGTCTAGGGATTTTTATTCAAGTCTTCACTTAAAAATGCAACCTTTCAGCTCAGCTAGTACAAGTAAATTCGAATGTTTTTTTAAAAGTACTTTTGACTCTTTAATAATATTGTTGGGAGATTAAAAGTCAAATAAAAAATTAGGAATAAGGCTAAAATAGAGAATAGCACCACCTTTTCATCCAATAAACTTTTTCCAAAAATGGAAATTCCACATTTTTCTTGCAAAAAATATTATACAAATTTATAATAAAGTTGAATCCATCAATTCCTTAACCACTTAGCAACCATCAATTAATTAAAATCTCTTTGTCTACTTTTATTTGGGAAGTCTTTTTCTTCCCAAATTGACCTTTTTATTTTTTATTTCTCATTTATTTGTCACAATATATATATTTTTTATTTTAATTATATATGGAGCCAAAACTTATAACAACCCAAGTTCACGGCTAGCAGAGATATTGTACTCCTTGTGTTTTCCTAGACACACCCTGTTAATGTAGGATCTCACAACCCACCTCCTTTGGGGGTTAGCGTCCTCACTTGCACACCATCTCCCATTTATAACAAGTCAAACTAATTGCTAACATATATTGTCATCTTTGGGTGCCTAGAGAGGACAATAAATGTTAGCAGTGGACTTGAACGATTATAATATCAAACTATTAACTTTTGAAATAGTCATTAATATCTTATCTACTAAGCTATACTCAGATTAATATTTTTCTACTTGATTTTGAACATATTCATATTTCGAGTTACAAAAAATACACTTCTTCAACCTCACTCGATCCCCATATGCAAATGTGTATTTATTTTCTTTCTTTTTCGTTTAGAAAGTGAAAAATAAATCACACATCAAGCAATGCAGTAGAGAGATTTTTTTTTTTAAAGATTGTGAAATCCACGTGGTGGCACATGAGTGGCTGGAAACAGTGTTTTTCCAATATAAGAACAACTCGCACGTGCCATGTGAGAGACCTACAGCGCACTTCACATGCTTTAATTAATGCACACACATTCTTGTTCTTAGCTCCACAAACCTAACCTTAATTATTATTATTATTTTTTTGTTATTTTTAATTTTTTTCTGAATCCCTTTAAAAATAAAAAATAATAATAATTATTGTTACAAATTTTACAACTTTCCAATAATTTTTAGCTTATAATCTCATTAGTTCATGATTTTTTTTTTTAACGATTATGTTTTTTAGGTTCTAACTTAACTTAACAATCAAAATCATAATTAATATGTAAATTAATTATGATTTTATGATTTTTGTTGATTTACTTAATTAAATAGCCTCGTGTCTATACAAACTAGCATTAAAAATAATCATAATTAATAGGTAAATTAATTTGATGTTATGAATTTGGTTGATTTACTTAATTAAATAGCCTCGTGTCTATACCAAACTAGCATTTAAAATAATCATAATTAATGATATATGAGTGAAGGTTTTTGTTGAAAGGTTAAAGAAGAAATTAAGACAATAATTAAGAACACAAAAATTAAAAATTTTATTAAATTTAAATAAGAAAAAGTATTGATTTAATTTTCTCTTTGAATTTTACCCATTTATTTAATTTAATTATGGGTGTCATATTTTATAGTTTTGCTCAATATTTGAAATTAGATTTGAACATTTTTGGTGCTGAAGTTTGGAAATGGTTCATTCTATTGTTTTTTTTTTTTTTTTTTGTAATAATCTTTAATTAATTAAGTTATATATATTATGATATCTTTCAGATTAAAAAGTGAAAATTATGAAGCGAACAAGAACATTAAGATGAAATAGGTATTCGGGTTCTTGATTATTTATCTAATTTGTTCGACCTACAAATCGATTTTCAATTCAAACCGATTTAGAGGAAGAAAACGAGAAATATTTGGAAAGAAAAACGAGGATTTATTAGTAAAAGGAAAGGAAAGGAAAGAAGGCGATTTTGGGTGGAAAATGGAGAGAGATAGAACAAAGTGGGGAACTTTGTATGTCTTTCAATTCATCACATGTGACCAATCTCCACAAACGCCTTCAAAACCTCTAATCAAACCTAATGCCTTTACCCATTGCCATCGCCATTTTTGGCAAAAAGAGCTGCAATTTGTGCATATGATACCCTTTGTTTTTGCCTATTAATTTCTCTGTTTGGTTTGCATGTTTCTCCAAATTCTCGTTTTGCACATGCCCATTTGCTTAGGCCTTCTTAAACGTGTAGATATTTTTTTATAACTTCATTATTTTATCTTCCTTGTTATTATTCCCTTGTGATTTATGCATTACCCCCAAATTAGGCACCTTCTCTTCTTCTTGCCTAAATAAGCATCTTCCTCTCTCTCTCCCTCTCTCTCTTATATATAAAAGGTCTCATTGGAGTTCTAGAGCTAAAGGGATTGTGTATTGGAGGTTGGCAAATGGGAAGGGAGTTCAGTTTGGAGCTTGGGCTGTGGCCATCTTCTTCTGTTTCAGAGACAAACTTCCAATTCTCTGCAATTCCCTCCATGTGAGAGAGAAGTTCTTGTTCTTGTTCTTGTTCATCATTTTCTTGTTTGTTTAAAACTTACATGGAAATTGGAATTTGGGTTTGTGTTTATGGATGTAGGATGGCTATGCCATTTACTTTGAACCAACAGCAGCAGATCATGGTGTTCTATAATGGAACACTTTCCCTCTGTGACTTTACTGAGCTCCAGGTAATTGCTCATTCCCATCTACTTTCTTTTCATTGTAAAACTCATATGCTTACTTACCCTAACTCTTGTAATAGTGTAAAGGGTTTAGAAACTCTAAAAGGGATTCGAAGGCTTTTTCTAAAAGATGCCATTAAAAAAAAAAAAGTCATACCGAACTCACTTTAGAATCCGAGCATCTGTTAGTAATAGTTCAGTGGTCGAAGTCCACTTCGTGGCGTGCCTACATTCAAGAGATAGTGATCAGTGAAGATAATAGAGAGTTAATGAACAATGTTTATTTTGGGTACACAACATTGTAGGCAAGAGCCATACTATGGGTAGCAAGCCGAGAGAGGAGTAGCAACTCGAGATGGACCAACCCAGAATGGTTGAGTCTGCTGCAAATGCCAAAGAGTGGGAGTGGGAATGGGAATGGGAATGGGAATGGGAATGCAGGTTTCCCCATTAAGAAATCTCTGCAGAGATTCCTACAAAGGAGAAAAGCAAGAAGAATTCGATCAATGTCTCCATATCACAAATTGTAATAACCAAACCGCTTACCTGATTCAAGCGAAGTTTGAGCCTCCCAACATCATCAAACAATCCATCGATCAATCAATCAATCAAAAACTCTTCATTTGTACTCTTATTCTACTTACATTCTTGTATTGTTGAATGGAAATAAGCAAAAAAAGTACTACGAGAAAATAATTCGTTTCGAACGTGTAAATGAAAACACAATAGCCCCGAGTTACAGTGCAAAAGAAACATCTATCAGGACACGACCTGATTGAAACTAATCTCTGGAATGAGAATCTGCATCTTTTGTTCTGAAGCATTTGACAGCAAGAAAAAAAGCATCCTAAAAGAATCAAACACATTAGGGGGGAGAAGGGGTAGAAGTTGGGCCAAATGGTGCCTCTACATTTAAATTGATAGTAAAACCCACAGCGCAACACCCCAACAGCCCAATTATCAGCCCACTAAGAATTGAATCGTATCCTAAAGCCCAGCCCATTTATGTAAAGACAGGGGAGAGCTAGAATTTTACCAGAAGACATCATATACTTCTAATCCAGCTGTGGGAGATCACTGAGAGAATGGCCTGGAGAAACTTTGAACAAACATACATCTTCCAAATAAAAGAAAAAAATCAGTCTGGAAAAGAGAACTCCTGAAAGTTTCAGAATGACTGCTGCCCTCTACGACACCTACTTTCTGGACTTTTCAGCCTCAAGTTAAAGACAGAGCACCAAAATAAAGCTCCCGTCACAACCCCATTAAGAATTTTGATAATACACATTTATGCATGACTATTATTAAACAGAATAAGCATTTTTCGATGAACTTTTTTTTTCCTTAAGAAATGTTAAAAGAAAACGCTGAAATGGATAGATAAAGTAGAAGCCCCTCAAGTGACTCCTGTGATATGGCCAGCTACTTACCGGTCATCGCATCCTGCCTCATCGAACACCGAGAACGTTTACACTTCCTGAAGGAGGTGAGGCAATGCAGAAAATAACCATCTTGCTGGTAACATCATTTACTTGGCACTTCATCATGATTTCCATTCCTAACCCCTAACTGATTCTGAATTCATTTGCCCACTGCTTCCACCATGGGCACTGAATCCTGCAACTGGCATGGAACGCTGGGCAAAATCCATTAAAAGCTTCCTTTGGGGCTCATTGGTGTGAGGAAGACTAGCACGAAGAAGCTCCACAGGCATTTCGCGGCTGACGGCTCTGGATGCCTCTGTCCCTATAACGTCGGTGCTTGATGGTGTCTGTGAAAATAATGACTGCACTATTGTCTCATATTTACTCACACAGTACTTGGTAAGGAGACTGAAGAATTCATCAAACGATGCCTGCCAGAGAGCACGATTAGGCATGCTACAGTTACTAACAGCATGAGGATCGGTTAACAGTTCAGTAGCCCTTTCAAGAATGGACTTCAGAACAATAGAGGCTCCATCTCCAGCAGAACTTCCAAGGGGGCGTAGTGGTGGCTGCTCCGAGGAACAGACAACTGCAACGAGACAAGCACTTAATGCACGAAGGTCCATACCATTAACACAGGCAGAAACAGTTTTCGCAAGATTAGATGTTGTCTCAGTTGCTCCAGGATCAGATGGAAGTCCACCAAACAAGAACCTTAAGTGACGAAAAATGGCCATACAGACGATTCGTGCAAGCTCGCTACCAGGGAAGAGCAGCTTGAGAAATTTAGAAAGAAGCTTTCGACCTTTGGGAAGAGAGGCCAAACGCAAGAACACGATGTCCTCTTTTGGAGATGGGCCAACACCATGGCTACTTTTTCCCAGTGGGTCAACAAGCTGAAGTGATGCTGCCAAACCTTCCAGCAGCATCTGCCGCCTTCGTCTAAGCTGGACACCTCCATCTTGCGGTTTATTGTGTTGTAAAAGCCGATCAATATCATCTATATCAAGGAGAAGACAGAGACCATCTTCAATGGTAATTCTAGCAGCAAGCATCGGTTCCTGCTCCAGAGGCCTCTCAGGTATTGTCTGTTCAGTGCTACCATCACAAGAACCTGAGGATGGAAGATCAACTTCAAGGAGGGGGCGAGGTCTACGAATAGAAGTGAGGGGTATTTTTCCCAATGAATCAGGTGTGGATTGAGAATGCTGATCTGAACCACTACGAGATCGGGATGGAAACTCTCTTATTCGAGATGGACAAAATGCATTTTTCGATCTTGAACCAGCAGCTTTTTTGGCAACACGAGCCTGGTGATAGTAGTCATCTATGTAGGGATCATTGCTGTGGGTGGCAGCATGCTGCATCTTCAGAATACTCTCAATCTCATCAGCTGTCATATGCTTAGATCTAAACTGGATGGATCCACTATCACTCTTTTGACTACCGGTTTCAGAACCTTGCTGAGAAGAACGCATGTTATGTTTCCCTCTCTGCGACTTGGGTTTCTGATCTCTCACATCAGTCAATCCAAGCATTGCTCTATGTGAGGATGGTGAATGGGCATTATACAGCTGAGACTGAAGAGCTGCAAAATGCGCCAAAGATGGTTGAACTGGATGATGTAGCCTGTGCTGTTGCAGCTGTTGATGAGCTGACAATAACTGAGGGGAAAGAAGGCTATTTTGATGAGATAGTTGCTGTTGCATCATACTATTAAACAGATGTGAATGATCTCCATGTAATAGACCAGCGTTGTTAATCCACTGATTTTGTGGCCTGCTACTAAAAGAAAGGCCGGGAGTGGTGAACTGGTGCATGTTGCCTCCATAATGCAAGCCATGATGCATACCAGCTAACTGCAGATTAGACTTGGATAAAGAAGTGATGTTTGGTGCAGATAAGGGTAACTGACTTCCATCCGGAAGGGATGAAATATGTAAGTGACGAGGTGAACCATGTTGAGACCTACTTCCTGGAGGAGGGAAGGATGTGAAAGAAGATTTCGGTACTAGAATTGGTTCACTAGAATAGTGCTGTAGTGTAGGTTGTTGCTGAGGGTAAGAGGATGTTCTATACAAAGGTTTCGGATCTGGTTGAGGCTGGGATGACCATCTCTTCTCCTCCTGAGAACATTCTGAATCAAATACATGCTGCTCTAACCAATTACAAAAGTCTCCATCTTGTGCCCAATCAGTTGCAGATGAACCTAAAGAAGATAATACAATCATAAGCACAAAGAGAGATAAATTACTGTTAGAACATTAGAACTAATAATGAAACTATAACTTTAAGGACGAGGCAACAAATCAACTGAAGAAAAAATATCATAAGCACAATGCTGGTCTGCTGGAACTGGGTATGGGGCTTAATTTTAGAAGAACCCTTTTAGATCAAGAGATTGTGGATTGGGAAAAGCCTTCTCATGAGTTTTATTCATAGTAATAGGAAAGATAAAAAGAAGTGGTCACTCAAGTGAGATGCCACATACTCAGTGAAATCTCTTGTAAATAAGATGGTGACGAGGCTGATGTTAATCAATCCCTTTATCGGTACCATCTGGAAAGCTAAGGTGTCAAGGAGGTGTGAGAGTTTGCTAGGCATTTTGGCCTACTTAATACCGGCAACAGATTGCAAAAGAATGTTTTTGGCATCGTTGTCGGTTACAGGAACGTAATGTGCAGGAAAAATCCGGAAGATGACCTATATCTTGTTTTCCTTTGTCCATTTGTAACCTATAGTAGGTTTGAGCATTTCAGTATTTATAAGTTAAGCTAGGCCTTCCCCAAAAGTTAAACTTGGGCAAAGCCAAGATCAAGATCTTTTGATTTAATGCACTGGTGGCCCTCCTTCGGAAACTTTTGTTTGAAACTTGAAAGGGATAGGAATACTTGTCCAGGGATATAAGCACAGCTCGAGCTTACAAGGTTCTTGGGGATCTAATAAAGATATAATCTTCTATTTTGGTGCTCTCTCCACAGCAACTTTTATAGTATTATTTTGTTGCAAACTTATGCCAATTAGGAGTCCCCTCTGGCAGTTTGGGGTAGCCATCTCCTTCTTTTGTACTTCCTCCCTTTTTCTATGAATAGACAAATTTATCTTTCTTATCCAAATAAACAAATAAATATGTAAACGCAGTTATCTGTGTATATAGAAATTCCATTGAGAATAAAAAACTCACTTTCCCGAGAAAAAGAACCAGATCCTCGATCACCAATGACTCCTGGATGTCTTGGTCCAGTAACAACTTTGTTCAACTGCACAAAAGAAACAAAAGGAAAAAAAAAAAAAAAAAAAGAGGGACACAACAATGAAAATTATTATTTCCATGCACAAGAAGAAGAAAAAGAAAGAAAGAACAATGACTGGTGGAACGGCAAAATTGATGGGTGTAAGAATATTGTAATCATATTAATAGACAGTGAACTAATATTTTATTTATTTATCTGTTCTTTTCTTCTTCTTTTCTGTTTTTTTTTGGGTAAGAAACCTAGCTTTTATTGAGGGAAATAAAAGAGGNCAAAAAAATCCAAAAAAAAAAAAAAACAAGCCTGCAAAACAGCTCTCAACAACCTATAAGAATGGACTCCAATCCAAAAGAATAACTAAGTTTGTAATTTTAAAAAAAAAAATCCGAAAAGGGGATGCCGGCACAGAGGCTTTAAACCTCACCCCTTCTCAAACCTCTTCTAAAGACCTCACCACTCTCTAAAAAATCTATTGTTCTTCTCAATCCACATTTCCCACACGATAGCAAACCAACAAGCTAGCCACAAAACATTCCCCTTATCAGGGAAGGGCAAATTCATCACAATCTCCTCAATATAACATGAACTCAGGATAGAATGCAGAGGGGCCAACACATTAGATTCTAATAAAAAACAAGGGAAATGAAAGTGCATCACTATGAGTGAGATTTTGTTTTTGTTTTTTTTTTTTTTTTTTTTTTCCCAATAAGAAACTAAAAACTTTTTTTTTTTTTTCCAAGGGAGAATCAAAACTAAAGAAATATTCAGATCAAGACTGCCGTTGCTATAAACCAGTACATAAACAAGAAACACTTTGTAAAAAAAGTTAGTTTCTTCTAGAAAGCAAGTTAGTTTATTGTCTGTAATGCATGAGCATCAGATGTGCGTACATTAAACTATTATCTTCTAGATAAATTAATTGATGTACGTGTAGGCTCGTATAGTATTCTATGGGTTAATATATTTTCTGTTAGTAGAGTAGTTGTAACTATCCTGTAACCAAAGCAACTGCTATCATGATGGTAGGTAGTTGGTATAAATCTTTTAGCAAAGTAATAAACAAAAATGAAATCACGTCTGTTGCATCATTATTTTGGGAAAAGAAAACTGTTTCATATCATCTGGACTTTTTTTCTCAATTAAAAGCAATTGGATATTTAATTCAACCAAAAAAACGTAT